GTTCCGAGTTCAGGAGTTAGTTGGAGATCATGCGGTACGTCTGGAGTTACGAGGTACAGAATACAGACTATTCCCAATCGTGCACATCTCCAAGCTCAAGCCCGTCAGAGAGTTCCCCGATCGACCGAACAGCGAGCTGAAAGTGGATGGAACAGATCGAGTCGACTTCGATGAATGTCTGCTACCAGAAGACAGCTGGGTGCGGGGATTGGAAGAGGGCGAGTATGAAGTCGAAGAAATTTTAGAGAGTCGTACAGGCAAGAAGACTCGGTATGGGAGGCAACAACGAGAATTCCTCGTGCAATGGAAGGGACACTCTGACCCCTCGTGGGTGGACGAAGGGGATCTGAATTGCGGAGCCTTACTCCGGGACTTCGAGCGCAAGAACACAAGCCATAACCGCTTCGAAGTAATGCAAAGCCATGAAAACTAGCCGGCGGTAGCAAGTTTCTTGGAGGGTGGACCGATTCCCTCAATGGTCGGCCCAGCCCCTCGTTGGAAGACTTGGGTCGCCTGCGGGGCGGCCTTGAATTTCCAAGAGTTAAGGGTATAGGAGAATGGAGAACAAAGGAGGGCGATTACCAAGATCAATCAGAACAGAAGAAGGTTCATGTTCAAGGGAAGACCTAACGGATGGCACGAGTTAGAGGTGGAGGAGCTACAAAGGGGACAATGAAGGACCTACGTGACGAAGGAAGTGAAGACATGCGCGTGCTCAATCCGTTGCACGGTTGAGCAAGTGCAGGGGGCGGCTGTGGTGAAGTGCTAATTTTGTGATATGAAGGTCCCGGACTCCAGTTGGATTCAGAGTATAGGCCGTGGGTCAGGGACAGGGGACCAGAGAGACAGGGGCCTCGAAGGGGAGCGACCGTTGGTGGAGGACAATCCGCAGGATCCGCCGAAGAAAAATCAGTATCAGGGTACCGGTTAACCGGTACCAAAGGGAGTTGATCATGGCCGCTCATTGATCGACCTGGCCCCTCGTTGGTAGACCCGGGTCCCTCATTGGTCGACCCGGTCCCTCATCGGTCGACCTGGGTCCCTCATTGGTAGACCTGGGTCCCTCATTGGTAGACCCGGTCCCTCGTTGGTCGACCCGGTCCCTCATCGGTCGACCTCGGCCCCTCTTTGGTCGACCCGGTCCCTCATTGGTAGACCTGGGTCCCTCATCAGTCGACCTCGGCCCCTCGGGGTTCAGCCACTCCGTACCAGTTAATACAAGGATCAGACTAGTCGACGCAAGGAATCAGAGCTTCAGGCAAGGATAGAGTAAAGGAGGTAAAAGGATAGGACTATATTAAATACTACTCAATTTGCGATCTACGTGGCACGACTCCGTCACCCAAGAAGGACTTGTTCTAAGTTACTCACTGTTCCGGGAAGGGATATATTTTGGCCCCCCGTCGAAGACAGTTGTGTAGCGAAGTTCAAGGGCGAATAGAGCTCCAGGATATATTTGGCCTGTGAGCTCGTTCGAGTAGCAACACCCCCCCCCCCCCAAGACCCGCTATCGGAAGCGGTCTCCCTCACCTCAAGGTCCGGGAGCAACGTAAAGGTCAGGTGGTTAATACCCCTGAAACAAGAAGGAAAAGGCCAGGGACGACAAGCGCCCCTGAAGAATTTGGCTCTAAGTCCACTCTCGACAAGGTCGATCGAGTGGCCACCTACCGGCCCACCGAGTGAAGCATATCCACTCGAGGCCCCCCCCAGGTCTACCTCCCTCAAGGCAGACATCTACATCGTCACCAAGTCCTCCGAAGAGTGCAACCCGCCAGCCGACGGGTACACAAGGTGAGAGAAGGTTCATACGCGGCATCGGGGTACCCCCTCCGACAGTCGGCAGTCCGGCACAGTGAGTGGTTTGGGGTCTCATCATACAATTTTGAGAACCCACTCCACCACAGGACGATCTCCTGACGAGCTGTCGCCAGCTCGTTACTCAGAGAATGAAGTCGCCGTTCATTCTCCAATAGTGCGACAGCATTGTTTGCCCGAGACCTCTCATGGTCAAACCCAAGCTGTCGCACAATGTCCTCTAAGCGGCGACGCTTATCCCGTTCGTGATCAACATCACAACGTAGCTCACGAGTTACACGGGCAACCCGTCTAACTCAGCAGCCAAGTCCGATGAAAGAATCGGACAGGGTTTTTCCTCCACCACCGCATCCGCTGGTGGACTCCCATGGTGGGAGAGCTTCCTTGTGGAACGCTTACTAAAGCGCCGCGAGGTGAAGGGACGTCGGACGAGTTATCTCGTCCGGTGGCGTGGCTATCCGCCTTCGGCGGATAGCTGGGAACCTCGGGCACAACTGATGGCCGACGTTCCCGGCCTTGTCGAACTGTACGACAAGGGACACCCGATGGTGAAGGACCATCGGAAAACGAGCGCCCAGCGCGCTCGTACAGGGATTGCAAAGTAGCAATTCCTTCACGCATCTCAGAAGAGATGCGAGCCCTCCACCAGGGCTCAGTAAGGAGGTACGCCTCCTTAGGCGCTCTTGACGAGGTGATCAGGCACCCCGGGCATGGGTCGCCCCAAGAGAGGCATAACAGGCCTGCCTCTCTAGATAACCGGTGCAAACGATAGCATGCACCGGAAGTACTTCGTTTCTCAAACTTATTGCGGCTAGCATAAAGTCTTTGAAACCAAGCCTCTTTCCCAACGTTTAAAACGTTGGTGATAAACGCGTTCCAATATTGGAGGAACGCGTCAGCCTCACGCTTCTTGTGTGGGCCATACCATCGATGTTCAAGGAACACATCGATGTAATAATCGTTCTCAGTGCGAAAGTTCTTCGCACTGGCGTCAAGGCCATGAAGCTTTGACGCATCAAACAACGGTATGGGGAACCGTTCGTTGGTCTTTCCAGACCAACGATCAAGCAGATGCTTAGATAGCATCCATGGATTGCGATCAGGAGCAAGACGCAATACGTTGCGATCTAAAGCCTCCTGCGTGGTGTCAGCAGAAGTACCGACACCACGAGCATTAGTGTCAACAGAAGTATCGACACTATGAGCATTGATGTCAGTAGAAGCACTGACATCACCCTTACGGTCCCCGCCCGAGTCACTATCCTTCGACTCGTTTGGCGAGTCGTCTGATTCATCAGACGACCCAAACATTTCAGGTACATTGATTCACTCAATGTACCACGATCCCTCTTCGTAACATTCGACGACGAGGCATCACCCCGGGGAGAGCTCGGGAGTGACACAGGTGGCTTTGAGTCATGCGTCATCCGACTCACCAGAGAAGTCAACGACTAACTCTGGGTCAACATCTTCACGTGGCGAAGCGCTACGTGAACCTGCAACAGGCGTTGCAGGCTGATGTTGACTTCCAGCAGACACATTAGTGTCTGTTGGCTGAGGCTGTGAAGCCTCAGTAGCGGCTGCACACAGGCGTGCAGCCGAGCTCTTGGCTGCCTTAGCAGCGACGCGCATTGACTTAGTCATAGCGTAATTGTTGAATGAAAGAAAATTCAACAAGTTCTCCTTTCCCATAGTCACTAAACAGTCACTAATGTGACTGTTGGTTGAGGGGGGGTGATGTAACGGGGCGAGCCCGTTACATAATATTGACACTTATATGAAGTGTCAATAAAATATTATTATAACTAATAATATTTTGACAATATTACCTTTTCTTATAATATTGTTCCTAGATCTCCTTTAAGTTGGAGATGCCCTCTCATTGGTTGATATGGGCCATCATATCAACCAACGCGCTGACCAATGACCGATGGACGCGCGCAATGAGTGGAGGGCAAGTTGTCAACATAGTTTAATATAGTTAACATAGGTTATAACAGATTAGTTTTATTAAGATAGTTAACTATATTAAATACAGTTTTATTAGTCCTTCTCAACTAAGCGTTTGTTTAGTTGATAAGCTTCCTCTGCTCACGTGTACGTGAGGTTTTGAGGCACCTGCTTTCACTGTAATCAGTGAAAGTAGGCTATACTGTAATCAGTATAGTCGGAGGGTGCCCCATTACATGATGGTTCTGCGCGAGCTGATGATGGGACTAAAAGATTTAAGGTAAAGCTGCCAATGAAGATGGAAATGGACAATCAAGCAGCCATTTTGGAAGATGGAGAGCGAAGAGAGTATGGGGCGAGCCAAACACATCGACATCATGTTTAAGTTTGTCAAAAATGTGCGCAAAATGGCAGCGTGAAGCCCATATTTATGCCACCCGACGCGATGGCGACTGATCTACTCACTAAGGTATTTGGTGCTGTACGACTACAACAAATGATGTGACTAGATCGCGAATACGCAAAGATCATAACGAGGGTTCCGGTGACGAACGCACGGCGCCGTGAGGAAGGAGTGTTGGATAATGGTTCATATCCATTTTATCGTTGGGCGATAATCGTTTTGGCTACCCCGGCGCGGTGGTTTTGAATTTACTTTATTAAGGTAACGGAAAGCAGCAAGTTAAGATGCAAGAGCAGGTAAGCAGCAGGAAAGTAGATTTAAACAAACACGAACAATTCACTCACTTCGACATGTCTCACATACACCACAAGCAGGTTCTTACATCATTGCGATGATAGAAGCTGCTTATAGTCACATTGGTACTAAATGTTAGTGCCAATGTTACATAACGGGATCATTGAATAGATGATTCTTACAATAGACGGCTCTGCTGGGCTACCTCTACCTCCGCGGCGCGCCCGCACGCTTCCAAAGGGCCCGTTTTAAGGGACACAGAGGACTCATGCGGGGTACCAGCTTCGGTAGCGGTGGCCCCGCTCGGCGGTGACTATATTTTTGTTACTTCAGTATTGTAAAAAATGAATTATTAAAATATTGTTGGTCAAGAATAAAAAGCCTTTCGATTATTCCAACTAATTTGTCGACTTACTAGCACTCAATTTAATTGGTCACTCGCTACCAGCATACTCACCTGAAGTCAAAACCTAACAACTGCGATATACATTACTATTAATAAAAAGTTTCCCACCCCTCCTATAAAAAACAAACATTCATGGTCGACTTACGACCCAACGTCGAAGACATTCCCAACGACATGACACCGCCATCCAATACATTCTTTAACGAAGAAGAAGAGAAGAAGAAGAAGAAGAAGAATGTCGTGTCTGTCGTGGTGAAGCTGAACCTGATCGTCGTCTCTTTGCACCATGTAAATGTAGTGGCAGTATTCGTTACACACATTCCGATTGTCTTGATCAATGGCTGACACACTCAGGCAAAAGCTTTTGTGAATTATGTGGCCATGAATTTACATTTACACCACTTTATGATGCTAATGCACCGGACATTTTACCCTGGACAGAGCTTTTGGGCACAGGACTCAGTGTTTTACTGCTAAAATGGCTACCATTTGCTCTACGAGTCGTGCTCGTGCTATTACTATGGCTTGCAGTCGCTCCGTGGTGCACTAGCTGGCTCTATCGTATGTGGCTTTTACGTGCTTCGGCAATGGTGAATGTCAATTTTCTGGAACGCTTTGATGCGTCACATATTGTAACCGACATTTTTTCAGGTCTTGTCCTGATTGTGTCCATTGTTTTTTCCTTCTTGGCTCTCATGTCGTTTGCTGATTTTTTACGATTTCATTTGGATCATATTGAAGAAGAAATGGCAGTGGAAGAGGTGCCTCCACATCATCAGCATTGGCAACATCGTCATGATGCCCAACAGAATATGAGACGTGCACAATTTGGAGACGATAATCATGAAGAAAACGTTGTAATGGAGAATGAACGACTGAGACTAGGGGCTAGAAGACTAAATAATGTGGACGAGAATGTTGGAGCTGATGACGACTCGTCGGATGAAGAAGCGTGGGCCGATCGGAACCAAGCAGAACCTTTTGTTGATGTCTTGCAGCACCAAGAGCTTGAAATGTTGCTACCTGGTGAAGACGCAGACCCAGTGCCAGAGCCACAACAGGAACTTCGACAACGCCGACCGCTGCGTGATATGCTGGATGTGGAACAAGAACGAGGACGCAATGGTGCTGCAGCAGCGGCACCAAGAGTTGCACGGAACCGTGTCGATCCACCGTTGCCGAACATGAACCAGCGCGAGTGGGAAGACGACTTTGAGCATATGGAGATTAATATTGCGATGGATGAGCTTCTTGGACTACGTGGTGACTTTGTGGTACTATTTCGCAATGTGTCGTGGCTGTTGGCGTTCAACGGTGCCTATCTCGGCTTATTTGCATTTATTCCGTACACACTGGGGAGCACTTTGCTGTCTGCAGGGGCTAGAATTGTTACGTCATTACCGGTTGCTTCCACTGCGTTTTCCACTTTCACCACGCTTGAATCTACCACTGACGAGGGAATATCGATTGGAGCTTACCTTGTGAAGACGCTGCTGCGCTCGATTGAGACGGCCAAGCAAAATGGCGACTGCTTGCAGCTTGTAGATTTGTGCACATGCATGGTGGGCTATGTATCTATTTGCTTGACGATTGTGCTGTGGAGATTTATGGTGAGGACTGCTTCTTCCTATATACATCGTCCCCTCATGGATGGTCTGCTATGGGCTCTACGCTGCTTGACGGCAATCGTGAAGGTTTCGACGCTGTTGTTGCTAAAGATGGTGATTTTGCCAATTATTCTAGGAGTTTGCATCGACTTTGCGACACTTCACTTGTTTATGGTGTCCGCACAAGACCGCGTTGCATTTTGCATGGAGAACATGATCTGCTCGTTGATGGTGCACTGGGTACTGGGCATTACATTTATGCTTTTTGTAACGGTTTCTGTATTGCAAATGCGGGAAGTTGCCCACCCAGACATCATGGCTAAGGTTATTCGACCACAAGAAGACCACCCGGATCTCCTGCGTACACTGCTGAGTGAGAAGTGTATGAAGCACGCTCGCCGTATGATTATGTCGCTTGTGATCTATGCAGCGCTACTGCTAGTTCTCGTGCATGTTCCTGTTCGTATCGCGAGCGGGTTCGTGCCTTCATTCTTCCCATTAACACTTCGTTTCCAGCACTACAGCCCAGAGATTCAAGTGCCATTTGAGCTGCTTGCAGTCCACCTCGTTGTGCTTAGCGTGTTGGAGCACGCAAAGAATGACATTGGAAAGTTCCAACATATTGGAATTGTGTTTGCGAGCGAGTGGTTGGGTTTGACGGAGTACCTGCTGCCACAAACGAAGTTAAACATTGTTATAAATGGCCAGCGCAAGGTGTCGAAGGTAGTGGTATTGCCACCACCACCACTCCACTTTCATCCTCGCGCTCAGTTGCCTCCTGAGGAATTGCGTGTCGATGGCCACCGTTACTTGCCGTGGCCTGAGGATGGTTTGGACGATGCGCAAGCCATTGAGTACCCGTTGCTCCCAAGAGAGAGGCCGTCTTACCTTTTGATTCGACTAGCAGGATTGGCAGTCTTTGCGTGGGCATTGTGCGTCGTGGTGATTGGGACATTTTTGTTTGGATCTCTTTACATTGGGCGAATTTGTATGGGCCCATTTGAGCGCGTGACTGGGATCAGTCACGACCCGCTCGTGTTGGCAGCCGGCGTGCAAATAGTCTGGTACTTTGTGAACAGCGTTCACGCTTTAAACATTTTGATGCTTCCAAAAGACCGAGTGGATCAAACGCTAGTTCAACGCGGATACTCTGTCCGTAATATGACGCCAGCGAATGCAGTGACCAGTGCCGTGGGCTGGACGTTTGTGTGCCCATATCTGCTGGGTCAAATAATGTCCTCGTGCGTTGCGAGTGCAAGTGCTTCACCTGCGGAAAGTCTGTTGATGGGCTATTTGGTATTTAATCTGTTTGCATGGGTGGTTTGTTGCTTCCGAACGAAGCGCAACAATAGACGCCGTAATGAGCGACAAGCAGCCATTCAAGGGTTGGAGCCTGACGAGGTACGATTTATGGACGTGGACGAAGAAGACGAGCTGTTTGAGGATGTTCAAAATGATGATGAGCTGGAAGAAGAGGAAGAAGAACGGCAATTGCATGAGGTGGGCGCTGCTGGTGCCGTTGCTGCCGTTGCAGAACCGATGGGCTTCATTGCCTCGTTTCGCAAGTCGTATCGTCAGCTCCTGTTCACCGTGACTGTACACGAAAACGATGCCGTTCGACTACGCCGAGATAACATCCGGGAGAAGTGTTTCGATGTGGTGTTTTTCCAGAAAAACGTATTGCTGCCCATTGTGACGTTCCTGATTGGAATGCTACTGGTGCCGTGGTTATTGTCCTCCGCACTCTTGCTGGTATATCCGTCCGAGAAAGCAAGCTTTGAAAAGGCTGCATTCGCAATGTGCGCTTTTTGGGTTGGCACTGTGTTCATCTTGGTTCGCTCGCACTCGTACATGGTCCGATGGCTGTCGAACTTGAGCGAGTCGATTCGCAATGAGCGTTATCTGATCGGCCGTCAGCTGCAAGACATGGCTCGTTAGGAAAAACCCAGGAGACAAGAAACTAGTAGACGACGCAAAGGAGGGGTTGCACACTTGCGACGAGGCAGAAAACTGCCAAAAGTGGTTGGGTGATACAAAGCGCGCTCGTATGTTACGAGCATAAGGGTGTCTAGTGTATGTCGCCTGGCACAACTGGACAGTCAGTCGGCCGACATGCTTCGTTTTGAGTTTCTGGATTTGAGTTGGTTGCGTGTATTGACTGCCATTAGATTAGGAATGGATAAACGTGGATAATAACAAGGCTCTTGCACTCTTCGCTCTTATATGAAACAGCATCACATGGGACTTAGTGACGTCCAACAACTGCCCTCCCTCCCTGTCTGTTCTGTCCCAAAAGACCAAATTTCGTTATCCATCATCTGCGACGGAGGTCGATCAAGTCGGATAGTAGACGTCATTATCAAACATTCCAGATCAAGTCAACAACATTAAATGGTGAACGTCCGTCGCACTCTCGAGAAGCTCAAGTTACCCGGTGGTCTACAGCACGAACGTATTCAATGGTTATATGAAGGTGCCAAGTCTCAGCCCAAGGAGGATGGCTACTTGCTCTATTGGATGCAAACATCGGTCCGTACCAAGCACAATTACGCACTGGAATATGCCGTTGCTGCTGCCAATGAATTGAAACTACCTCTACATGTGGTGTGCCTCTTCCCGGATCGCTCTGTGGTGCCTTCATTGCATCCGGACAAAAAGGACGAGTGGAAGGCGGAAGCCATTCAAGATGCCAGTGCTCAGGCGTTTGTGACGGAACGTCATGCGCTGTTTGCATTGGAAGGTTTAGCTGACGCACACCAACGACTGGCAGATCGTGGGTTGAATCTCGATGTTTTTCATCATCAACACAAGTCCGGGGGTGATTGTTCTACACGTCATGAGCTGCTGACGTTCTGTGCACGCAAAGCTGCATTGGTGGTGACAGATTGTCCATACTTGCGTCCATGGCGTTCTGCCCTCGAGAATCTCGTGTCGTCTGTTAAAGAGGCAGAGGATGCTGATGACGAGAATGCTAGTTTTGGAATTGTTCAGATTGAAGGTGACGTTGTAGTACCTGCTGCTGTTGTCACGGACAAAGAAGAGTATGCTGCACGCACAATCCGTCCTAAGGTTACGAAGCACTTGGACCGCTTTGTTGTTCCTTTGGAGAGCTTGGTGATTGAGAAGGCGAACCAAACCGAGGGAACATCGCTCCTGACTGTTGTTGGTAGCTCTGAACTAAAGCCACTGGATGTGACAAGTTCCAAGGCTGTTTACAAGGCGCTGGAACTGCTGGATGTTGACCGCGACGTGAAAGCTGTGGATTGGCACTTTCGAGGAGGTGAAGCTGCGGCTTCAGCCTGTGTGAAGAAGTTTCTCACCCCAGACAGACTTGCTAGCTATGCCACTGAGCGCAACGAGCCTAGTCTGGACGCTGGAAGCGACTTGAGTGTCTATCTGCGCTACGGACATATCAGCGTTGTTCGTGTTGCGCTGGCTGCAAACAAACTGAAAGGTGTTGCGCGAGCGAAAGAAGGACTGGCATCGTTCCTAGAGGAAGTTATTGTCCGTCGGGAATTATCGGTGAATCTGGTGGTGTACAACCAGGATAACTATGACTCCATGCGCTGCCTTCCGAACTACGCGCAGGTCACCCTGCAAGAGCACGCAGACGACAAGCGCGACCAATTGTATTCACGTGAGCAGCTCGAGCATTTCAAAACAGGGGATCAACTTTGGAACGCAGCACAGCGTGAGCTTGTGGTTTCGGGCAAAATGCACGGCTACATGCGCATGTACTGGGGCAAGAAGTTGCTGGAGTGGACACAAACTCCGGAAGAAGGTTTCAACGCAGCTTTGGTCCTAAACAACAAGTATGCCTTGGATGCACCCGATCCAAACTCGTACGCAGGCGTGGCCTGGGTTTTTGGAAAGCATGACCAAGGCTGGAGGGAACGCGCAATCTTCGGCAAAGTGCGCTACATGAACGAGGCTGGGCTCAAGCGAAAGTTTCGTATGGACGCGTATGTACGTAAGGTGGGTCGCATAGCAGCAAAGGCCAAGAAAGGAACTGGAGAAAAGGAACCAACATCGCCTGAAGAGGAAGCGGAACCTGCTAAGTCTCAGCCTAAAAAAACTGGTACGAGATCGGCTGAGAGTGATGCTCCTGGGTCTGCAAAGAAGAAGAAACTGCAGCACAAGTGAGAAGATTGGTATATCGTAGCGTAAGATACCTGCGCAGGAAGAACCTGCTATGAAGCAGTATTTTATCAATCAAACATCTCGGCATTTTATTATAGTTCTTGCACATACATCATCGATGTGTGTCATTCATCCATCCAATTCACCTGTCCGCAAACACAAAACAGAAAACAAGATGTCAGCTTTCACGATAGCTGCAGCATGTACAGGCAGTGCTTGAATCTGGACTGCGTCTCTCACATGACATTCAACCACCAAGGACAAAAAGGTTTGTTGCTTCGAGTCCATAGGGGTGTCAACGACATTCACCTAAAGCTGCTCAAAGTGGCAAAATAGGCTGGGACCACAGTACTTCTGTTTTTGCAGCGTCATACCTGTTGCAGCATTCAGTCCCAAAGCATCTAATAGCAACAGCCAAGCCACGCCAAAACAAGTCGCCTCACTATCGTCTTGAATGCTAGGCTACATAACACACAACAAGGAATGCAAAAAGGCAGAATGCAATGTACTCACTTTCACCATATGCCATTGAAGCCCGAGACAGACACCATAGGAGTAGAAATTTGCTGGGCCTCTAGCAGAACAATGAGTGCATTTAATTGCTGCATGTGATTCTTGCTCATCGCCTCGATTTGCTTTAACATCATTTTCTCTGTACCATAGATGTTTGTCGTGCTGATGTCTTCAGTCTTCCCTGTAAACTTTTTCTTACCCCTCCTCTCTCCGTGTGATCCATCCGCTCTCCGGCCATTTCAACGCATCGTTATGAACATCTTGCACGGTCGCTAGGTGGCTCAAAGGATCGAGCGAGAGCCTCGACATAGCGCAAATTCTCTACTTCTTGAGACCCTTTAGCATCTTTTGCCGGCGACCAGTCGAGAGTTTGTTCTGCACGAGGAAGGGTGCCTGGATGCTGCTAAACTTGTCTTCGTTGCCCTGAGCCACAGCAGCGCCGAGGCCACGGTTGCTGCCGCTGCTTGCCATGAAACTTCTACTAAGATTATTACTATTGTCTCCGCGCGTACCGTTTCCACCTGGAAGTGACGAGCTCGTGTTACACGATGGCGCCAAGGGCTGCTGAGCGGGTACAGGTGGAGGAGGAGCCCGGTTCTGCCGCCATGTGTACGATTCTTGCGACTTTACTACCTTGCGCGGCGGGGGTTGTTGCTGCTGTGGCTGAGGCGGAGGCAATGGGGAAGGTGCCCGAGGCAAATATTGCGGAGCTGGTGCTGGTGCTTGTGCTGGCGCCGGCATCGGCATGGGCATCGGTGCCGGGGCACGGTACTGATTAACACTCACGTTTCGCACCTGGAACTTTAATGTAAGTGGTTTTTGCATCACCTTCAGCATTGTCATGACCTCTTCAAACGATTTGTCCCGAATATGCACGCTACGGCCCTCGACTGAGATCAGGCAGTCATTCAGCACAGACTGCGGCAAGTGCGCCGCACTTCCTGTGCCCGTAACGCGAGTAATGTAAGGATATTCGCACTCGCTATCAGCACCACGCAACGAAAGACCCAAAGGAGTTCCATCTTGCCACACAATGCTGTAAAACTGTGCGTCGTTGTTATCGCCTGTTGTAGCTGGAGCTGCTCTTCGACTGTGGCTTCGAGTGTGAGCATCATACTCCGTAGGCAAGTTTCCACTAGCGTTTGATGAGTACAAACCATGGCGTTGGGCAGATTTGCGCCTAAAAAATATTGTCACCGGGCGTGGCGCATTCTTAAGATACGCCACGATGTCCTGAAATGCCACGCGCGATAGGTCCATGTCGTTGATATGAGTAACGTCGTCGCCGACGCAATCCTGAGAGAGGTGAGCAGCTGCGCCCTGAGCAGCAATGCGCTTAATTAATGCACCCGTCTCTGGTTTTGCGTCGATCGTAAGACCCAACGGCCCCGATCCCCATATCACCTTGTACACGTCACTAGGTGCCTCGCGTGACACATGCCTTACAATTTCGGCGGCATGGTTACTTGGAGCAGGTGTTGGGATTGGCGTTGGATTCTGAGGGCTCATGTGCACAGGGGCATTATCGTAGCCCGAATGCGACCTTGCCGAGCTACTTCTATCGCTTCGAACAGAAAGTGCGGTACCATTGCTACGGTATGAAGACGGGCCTCTTGCATCATCGTCACCCAGGGCCGCACGGAATTGCAACAGTACAGGCTTTGGCGTCGTCTTCAAGTACGAAACGACATCTTCAAAATGCATCGCTGCCGTCTCTATCCCGTTCATGCTTTCCAAGAAGTCACCCACCTGCGCTTTGTCGATACCTACTGAATTACCCGTACCAGTCACCTTTTTGATCACCGGGAGATCGCATTCGTTTAGGCCAGGAATAATCGTAAGACCCAAAGGTCCTTCACCCCAATTAATCGAGTACTTGATCGGTCGCGACATGCTCAAGCTGAAATTCATCAACGATGGTACACGTTCATTGACGGAAACATTCTCACTTTCTGGCTTCCGGGAGCTGGGTGCGCATGCAACTGTCGCACTACTACGCTGTGGCGCCGCACAGGCGGATTCCGTGTTTGTCACCGGTTCTTGAGAAGGTCCACCCACACCGCGGAATCGGAGCTTAGCAGGCAACTGCACTTTCTTGAGAATAGACATGGAAAGCGAACAGCCAAGCTGGATAGTGTCAATATTGTTGATAGCAACAAGAACATCACCGATTGCAATATTCTGCTTCAAAGCCACTGATCCAGACTTTTTGGTTAAACGATTAACAATCGGGATCTTTTGCATAGCACAGTCATCCTTCAGCGTGACACCGAGCGGTCCATTCGACCACGTAACCGTGTAGTCGTGAATCTTGCATTTTTTCGGCGACGGATCCCCTGCCTCAAATTTCATAATAATTGGCGACGCATATGCCGCGAAAATGTCATTCAAGTCATCTTCCGTCTGCACTGCATCATCAATGGCACGTCCGTTGATAGAAAGCAGCTTATCACCAATGCAAATGTGCGCAAATGACTCATCGGCGTCCAACTCCGTGATAATATTCCAAAAACCTGTCGTGTCATCGGCACGGAACCGTAGACGCGGCAAAAAACTGTGTTTCCATACAACTACACGTAACGCATCAAACGCCGCGCAAGCACTGTTCCACGACGACTCTTTCGACACGCTGCGTGTGCGACTCACAGTAACCTCGGCAGACTCATCATTCTCAGCAGCTGCCTGCGAAGGTGGCACAGCCATCTTGTCCTCGGACTGTGGATTAGACGCAATAAACGAATGTTCCATCGATTTCTGGAGCGTCAACATTTCCTGCGAGTCCATTTCCAATCCATTCTTCTTGGCAAAGGCAGTCCAGAAAGTCGTCGTCGACATTTCGCTTTGGAAACGTTCCCGCATTTCCATAATAATGCGGTTCATCTCATCGTCACGCCAGTTTGCCTTTTCCTCCCGCATACGATTTTCAATTGCTTGTGCAATACGTGCTTCCTCCTGCTTCTTTAGACGTCGCATAATCTTCTCCTCAATGCGTTTCTCAGCGTCTGCATCGACACTGACCTTCCGCTGTGTACATATTGACAAAAACACCACAGTGAGTCCAACTATTTCTTACAACAACCTCCAAATTTTGTCTTGTCCTTACTGAAAGTCTACTGCCTGAAGACTCGACACTCCGGGAGCTATTGACTCGACGTGACCTGGTTCTTGTCTTCTTCTTGCTCTTTTTCTTTTTTACCTTGACCTCTTCTTCTTCTTCTTCTTCTTCCTCGTCTTCGTCGGAATCTGTCTCATACTCAGCACTTGAATCTGTCTCGTACTCAGCCGAATCATCTGATCCTGACTCCGCTGCAGAAATAAAAACAAGATAAAAAACACCACACAACGAATCAGTTTATCCCTCCTTTTCTGTTGCCATTGACATGAAAATCAAACCAGCAGCATGTAAACACCATACATTCCGAGTCATTAAACTTGGAACATCGTAAATTGCGACAGCGAAGACGATGTGCGGAAGCATGATGCATATTACATTCCTGCAACATTTGGTTCATGTAACCACACAAAATCAATTGACCATCACTCTTTAGCTGTGAAGCTCTTCTTCTACTGAACGTACGCGTGAACAGTAAAAGACTTCTCCACAGCCGCTCATGCATGGAATTTTGGCTCCATCAGCCCCACAGTTCCCACATGGTTCCATACTTTGAAGCGCTAGAAGCAGATCATCATCATCATCATCGTCGTGATTGTTCTTGGGCATAGCTACTGTTCAAGTGACAGTATGGACTAGAGAAGACTGTCTTTTTTTCTTTTTTTCTCAGTGTTTGTATACGGTGCTATCGCTCGTTTGCTTGCGTCTGCTTGGCCCGTCTTTAAAAGCGCTCTTCCCGTGTAGTACTCGGGTTTTGTGGGTCGTGTTTTTGCTTTGACTTGGTGTTTGTATGGTAGAAAGAGGGTAAATTAGACGGGAGCGAGCACGTCAGATCAACTTAAAGAGGTGTAGGTTGTACGATCGACAAACTGAAAATAACTGTACAAATGAAAAGTCTGCGATATTACACAAAAAAAACTGGATATTTTGTTGCAGCCACTCATCACGTCGTGACTTTTGATAGATGGAAAATTGCGGAGACGTTTTGAAAAAGTGACTCCTGCGACAAGTCGAGAGAAATCATAGCAATAAGTTTTTTTTACTGTATTTTACCTTTATATATGACCACTACAGAGATCGACAGATTGGTGATGGTAAACAAGCATTTCTGAATGTCAGAATTCGTCGTAAGACGCGTCTCCCTTTTCGTCACCACAGTGTGCGATTGCAAAAGCATACGCTTACGAACAATGCAATGTTTCTCCATGTCGTCGTCCGACACAGTTGGAGTCAATCAAGATCGTTGATGCCATACGAAAGAGGTCAAGTGGGCTACCCGTATTCCGTGACGCGACAATGATTCACACCGAACCGAGTTGTCTTTGTCGATCGTAGGCTACTCAAAAGGCAGCATAATTACTTACACACGCCATCCGCGTTGCCGGGGATAGCGTCACTATCCGTTCTCAGTGTATCGACGGTCGACATGGATTTTTTGCTACTCTTACTCTTAATAAGGGACACTACAATCACTAGTGTCTGCAGTACGTAGCCATAGAGTCGGTCACCTATCTATTGTCATCCTTACGGCTGGACTTAACTCTAGTACAGTACATCTACGTCGTATACTTGAAAATTACAGCAATGTCGACCATCAAAAACCCTTTCTTACTAATCATAGAATTTTGTGTTCTTAGGACCAGGAGGTCGATTATCACGTACTGTAACCGCCTAAATTAGCCAAGATTCCCTAAGTACGGTCTTCACATGTAAAAAAATCAAAAATTATCCGTCGAAATATTACATCACATTAATAAAAAAAAGCGGATCTTCCCCCTAAGACCAGTCTTTCAATTCCTTTGACCCAGATACTTGCAATTATCCAATGACCAGTTCCACTATTAAGAAGATTGGCTCAGCTCCACACACACCAAAGCGATCGCCATTACGTGCATCGCCATCTCCTTCCTATAGCCCCAACGATGTTAATGCCGATGAGCTTCTTGCTCTCCTTAAGGCCATTAAATTTGCCCATCCAGAATATGGTGTCAAGCGTGTTCACGACCAAGTTCTGACACATGGTGATAAATTTGGTCGTGTTCCATTTAAACGTGTTAAGCGTTATTTGCACAAGTTGGGGATCAATTCACCTTCGGAGGAAGATGATAAGACCCCGCTCAAGCTTATGACAGTCGGAGGTATCTCCAAGTCCCTACGTGACGGCGGGGCAGAAGGGTTACAAACTACGGATAATATGGTGTGGTTACCTGTGAAACTAGACGAACCAGCGTCCAAGCTCCAGGAATTTCCATATCAAGCGGTGATCCGCATGACTACAAATGAAGACGGAGATGCTGAGGGATCACTTGGTGAGATTTACAAGATTCAAGTAGCTATGGAAGCTGATGGATCACTTAGTACGATCCATCCGATGCTGGTTTACAACAAGGCCCGCTCTCGTAAAACATTTCTGCATCCGGATTCACCTGCTTATCTACCGGTGCAGAGACTGGTAAGTGCTCAAGGAACTAAAGGAGCTGTGGGTGGCTGCAAGGCGTACTTTTGGGGCCGCTATTTCAAGATTGAAGACATGCTGTACATCAATTCGGAGAAAATTGCACCAGCCCAGCAGTGGTAAGGTGGAAATGAGAAGCTGTATGTTGTAAGCACGACGGGATGTAGAATAGCGCAGGAGGTGTGGCGGGATGGAATGGTGGAGTTGGATACAAAAACAAGGGAGCGGAGCTTTTTGACAGCAGTTGAGGAGGTGAAGACTAGTGTTTGCAGCGCATAAGCACGTTGACGTTCTGTGGCTGGGGTGCACTTGGTGTTTGCCGATATATATATTAACTGCTTTTTCAGCTTGCATGTTGCATGACCTGCGTATTTTTTGGCGGTAGATGATGAAAATTGCATTTGATAACGAAGCGCCGTGTTTGCATTTGTGTCGCAGTCGGCTATTCCTTCGCCCCCAAGTCCTGTATTCGTGTTGTCTGCGTCTCTGACGTGTTGAATCAATTTGTGATGGCATCACATTGCTCTATTGTTCCCTCACCCTGTTCAATCGTGAAGTGAAGCCTTAGCATAGTCAAGAGTGAGGACGAAGAAGAAGAAACGGCATATCGAGTAAATGTCGCCTTAACACAAAAATAAAACAAAGAATCTCATTGCAGCACATTGCCTAGTACGTGTAGCAGGAAAACGGTCACTGAGATGTCCATCCTGCTCCTGTGTTGATGGTGTGGGGCACATTCTGGTTGTCAATCGATAAAGGGGCTTATCGATTCGACGGTTCCCCAAAGAGGCCACTTTCATCGTCGCTGTCGCTGTCACTATCACTGCTACTGCTAGCAGCCTCACCGAAGAGCGAGCTATAGGGTGCAGAAGGGATGGTTGTCTGCGGTGCAGCGTGCACGAATCCAGGGGCTGAGACAGCAGGTGCAGGTACTGGTGCGCATGATCCAAAGAGACTGGCGCTAGTGGCCGCCGGCGTCTGGTGAAGCTCTGGAGTGGGCAGCGATGGTGTCACAAGTGTTGGAGCTAGAGCTGCCGGCTCTGCTTTGCTTGGTGCACCAAATAACGACTGGCCACCATTATCTTCATCGCTCCAGTCACTCTCGCTCGAGTCATCACCGTCTGAGGCCGCCGACACAGCAACGCCGAACAGATACGAACCCGACGCCGGTGCTGGGGAGGATTTTGTTGCCGCTGGCGTCGGTGTGGATACAAGTGCGGGTGCCGGTGCTGGCGCAGAAGCTGAAGGCGTCGGGGATGATACAACTTCGGGTGCCGGTGCGGAGATAGAAGCTTCTGGCGTTGGCGTCGGTGCAACTACGGGTGCGGGAGTAGGTGCGGGTGGCGCTGGGGCGGGTACACGAGTTGGAGAAGGAACCCGTTCCGGAATTGCTGCAGGCGTGGCAAAAGCCTGTGCAGGTGCTGGTACAGGAGTGGCTGGTGAAGGCGAGTAAGATTCAGATACCGCTACTGGTGTACTACAACTTGCTCCAAAGAGTGACGTAGCCGATGTGGATGATGAGGTCGATGTGGTCGCTGGTATTGGCTTTGGTTGGTCATCGATTACTAGCTCGTCCATGGAAAAGTTCGCCATCAACGCACTAGGAAATCCGGCTGGTGCGTGCGTGTTTTGGTCCGTTGAGTTATCATATACTGGTGCAAACGGGTCATCATGAAGCTCGTAAGGTTTCATCGATGGCATCAGCTCAGGTTCCGGCAGCTTCTGCATGGTCGCTGCGGCAGTAGGAACTGGTACAGGTGTCGGTGTTGGTGTTAGCACAGGGGCAAACTCTGAAGCTGAACGAAGAGAAGGTTCAGGAAACGGTGTTGGGAACAAGTTTGCAGCCACAGGTGCCGGTAATGATACCAGAGCTGGAGCTTCTGGGGCTTTCGGCTCCGAAATTTCAGCACGTGCCACCGCCGCCGCGGGAACAACTGTACGCTCAGTTACAGGTGCTTGAAAAGGCTGAACCGTATCAATAATCGGTGCTGCCATTGTCTACACCATCAAAAAAACAAGGTTAGGACGAATTCTACCCACGACGACATCTAGTCACCCGAAACCTACCGGGATCCGGAAAGCTCCAGGTGGAGGCCGCGTTGGGCCACGACGCTTGGGTCCCGCAACACGGTTCATCGTCGCCTAGAACACCACATTCACCATTACAGTATTAGACACGACAGCGTTCCAAAACATGTCATAAAGCAAATAAAAACCCACATGAGAGTCATTCAGCGCTGTACTAGATATTTCAGTTCTCAGTGCCCCTTCGGGAGCCATTCCAGGAAGACAAAATCCCGCCTTTGTTAGTCCAGGCATTGGAATAGCTGATCCTGTCAGACCTGGCATTGCTACACCCATAGCATGTTGTCGATGTCCATATTCTTCCTCTCCAGTTCTCATGATCGATTCCCGTTGATAACCCGCAAGCTTTCGAGATCTCCCATTTGATGGTCCTCCTGGACGTCCAAATGGGTTTACATTGATCCCAAGACTGCCTTGAAGCTGCTGAATCTTGTTAGAAGCTTGACAAAGTCCTGCTGCCTCTTGAGCAGTAGCTACCGCCGATGTATCGACTGGTTGTGACGCTGTAGACGTCATACTCACATCACTGCTGCTACTGCTCGTTTGACGCAAATCATCCGACGGCTCTGATACCGGTATTAGGTGGTTAAATCGTAACGCTGGAGCCGCGTCCCCGGAACCGCTGGCGATCATGCTTTGCTGCTTAAGACGAGCGATCCGTTCGGCGATGGAACTTGTAGCGGCCGATGACGTCGTATGGGGAACGCTCTGCTTTACTGCGGGAATAGAAGGTTCGCTTTCTCCACCGGCCTTGGCACGGCGCCGTGCTAGGATTGCCGCCAATTCATTCGTCGCCATGTCCGTCCTCGTCCCTTTGTGCTCAACTTGGACTTTCAGCTCGAAAATGTCGCGGATACTATCCGGATTTTCTGATAGAAAATCCCTCTTTAGCATTCTATATAATTTAAAATTTATATATATATTGCCAGTAACAAATAGAAGTGCTAATCAAAAAGGTGACGTGAAGGTTGTTTATAGGAATAAGGGATGCCAATTTTTTATAGTATTGTTTAGACTACAGTTCGGTCAAGACCAATTGTGCGGGGTAAAACATTTATAATGACAACTCAAACAAAAAGAAACCATTTGAAAAAGGAAACTCTACACCTGAAACATCTCACTGTTCTGTCCTTGGTATTCAACAATATCACCGACGTTTGGATCAGACCCAAACTTCAACCCGTGACTTGTAAGTCGTCCAGCACTTTCCTTCAGCTTGTCGTCCAGAGCACACTACGACGCCCATTTCGTATTGATTAGCTCGTGAAAAAGCCTCGTCCAAATACTCGTTTGTAGTCCGTCCTACTGACCATCGTCGATACGTTGAATACTTGTCGCTGCTGATGTTTCGCCGTCGTCTTGCTGGCGCTTTCTTTTATTTTCGGCACGCTTCTTCAATTCGTCCTCTTGTATTTTCTTAAGCGTTTTTATGAATTCTTGGGCTTGCAACTTCACATCAGGATCAACAGAATCTTCAGCCTTCTTGAACCGGTCATATAGATCGCAGTCGATGAAATAATCCTTCCTCAATTTTGGGACTATTACTTCTGAGAGCTCTTGTTTTGTACCAACTTTTATTTTTTCTCGCCAAAAAAAATACGAGCCAAACCTTCCACACTGGGCTTTCGAGCATATTAATGCCTTCTTCTTTGAGCATAAGAAGCGCAAAGACAACGTCAACACTGTCATTTCCATATAATTCGCTCCAAGTATCCATCTGAACACTTGCCAAGGCATTTGCCGTTTCCTTTACAGCAACGTTGTCGTCATTTAGCAACACAGCAATTTGTTCTGCTAGCTCTCGGTCTTCGTAATGCTGCGACAACTCAGTAAACAACACCTCAATTGGATTTGCATCTTTATGATGGCTTGCATACTTGTCGATCCAGTTTTGGGTAAACTCTGCCGCGAGAATTTTCTTTAGATCTGGCTTTTTGTCGAGTGACAACACTTTAAAAAAAATCGCATTACGTTTTTCATCAAGCTGATTCTGCAAATGAGAAAATTCCAATACATCGGCAATATCTTTTGTAGCTGGGTCGTTTTTGTGGCCGCTACAATGCTGTCAACCTTTTCTCTTCCGTGCCTATCTGTAAGTTTTAAGAGCATGTTTGAATGACCTTGTAGATATTCATCCACAGTCGTATGTCTTAAAGAGTCGGCCTGCTCGGGCAGGCCGACGCTGTGGAGCAGGCTTTGGATATTTTCGTCAGCTGCGGTTATCTGAGTGTCCAATGCTTGTACCACGTTTTGGGCCACAGACGAGGTCATTCTTTCTTGGTCATCGCCGTTAACTTCCTCCGACGTAGATGAGCTTGGCCTTAATTGTCGATTCTCTCGTGCGTTTTTCGGTGCATGCTGCGAAGCGACCATCATCGTTACCATAGTCTGTGGACTCCATATCAGCACAACAGCTGTTACTAGCACAATGTACCAGAATAGATGCTTAACTTTGTGGATCGTGCAGGACATTCTCAATAGAGTCAATGCAACACTTGGGAGCTGGAAGCGAAAAAGCAAAGTGAGATGGCACGAAGTATCCTCGTTACTACGAAGAGCGACGACCAATACGTTTTTATGCAGACTAAATCAAACACTAGGAAGCCAGTCGGTTAAAGGTCACAAGAGTCTAACTGGATGGAATTGTGCAAGCGAGAGTCCAGCACCAAAAGTGCTTGGCACGGATTGCGGACGAAAACCCTACCGATACAAGTCATGGACACCTCACATTTTCTGGGCTTCGTAAAAGTTAAGGTAACATATGCGAGCCCGAACCACCCGTGGCTATTAGGAGTTGTAGCAGCATAAAGGTTAGGACCGTCAACGACACCGCGCGGTATGAAGTTGTTTTCATTATGTACCTACGCGTGGTGTTGGCACAGCACAATGATTAGGCTGCGTCGTCTATGTGATGCTGGGCCGTCACCGTAATCTTGGACATGAAGCGGAAATTGTTAATGCTGCGTGCGACAACTTATGGAAATTGTAAGCTCAACAGTTTTGCAAGCAAGCGCTTCTCGCTAATGAAATCTAGTTTGCTTGTTGAGTGCATGCTGCACTTGGAGCCTCTGTCGTCAAGTCCTTTGTCAATGCGTCGCAATGTCAGGCAGGGTCAAATTAATACTGCAATTTAGACAACAACAAATGCGGAGATCGACACAGACTAGTAGTCAATCTTCGAACTGCTTCTACTGAAGTAGGCAAGATCTCATCCGCTCTGTTGACTTTCATGACTACATACACGGAGCTAGTTCAAGCACTTGAACTAAGATTGGAAACACCGTCTATGAATTGCATCTATCGGTGTGGAGCAACCCGTTCTATTTGCTACTGCCTTTTCAGCTACGTGAAAGAAAACTTATATGCATGGCGTAAGCAGTTAAACAAGATCGATTGGCAAATGCAATTGTGAGTTCCATGACGATATCGGATGTGAAAACTATGTAAAAATCATGAGCATGGTGACACTCACCCTATTGTCAATCTTTTGACGCTGCTTTTCGATTGCATCGACTTGTCTTCTTAACCTTCGCTAGCTCGTTGCTTTGCTACAGACTTGATGCAAAATCAAATAAGCACTCAACTTACGCCAGAGCCCTCATCTACGAGTCCATTCACTCTCCTGACCAAACAATTAGCTAAGCTGCAGCAACGCGTTTGCAGTTCGTGCGGGGAAAGAATGCTTTTGCGAACAGGATAAGGAATCGGCTTTCTAGCCTTGGGTGACGACTATCAGCTGTGCAAAGATGAACAACGTCAGCAAGGCACGAGCATCCTCTTTCTTTGTCTCGACAAGAGTCTTCCCGGTCTCTTTCCACAGTGTAATTCGGGCGTCACGCAATGAGATGCTCATCAACACGTCTGTATGTCGTGCGCGTAGGAACGTCCGATGGGAGGCCAATTTTCTGTTGAAAACAGTCATGTGAGTGTCCTAAACCGAATCAAAGCCATATCGTTTCAAATACGATAATGTTTGTCCGTATTCAATGTACAAGCGGTGGTAGGGTCTGAATGTGACGTAAAGATGCTAGTCCAATTGTCAAAAGGCCCTGACACGAACATGTTGCATCTTGTATCTTCAAGTTGTCTACGCATAGTTGCAGCAGATGACTGCATACACACTTGACGTCGAGGTAGAGCTACCTTCGAAACAAATTATTACGCTACGGTGCATTATGGACGATTATGTTGCTGTCAGCGACGACAACACTGTCAAAGATTTGCCACATGTCGACCGACATGATGATGTTTTTGGAGCGTTTCGATCGCTAGAGAAGAAACCAGTACTGCAGCTATAGAACATCGTTAAGCTAAAACTAGATTTTTGTCGCTAGTTTTGGAGAGCCCATAGCAATAAATCTCGAGCAGAACATGTTTAATATACAGCAACTACACTAAAGCGGTAAACGGGAATGACCACAGTCTCAGGATTGTGTCCATTTATTATTTGCCTCGTGTTGCAATCCAATCGTTTTAGGTGTATGTATATTCTGGATGTGAATGCATTATTCTTTCCCGATACTTTACTCCGAGCTTGATTCTTGTGTGGGAAATAACTACAAAACTCGTAGACTTTGACCAGTCCACCTCAACAATTTATTCACAAGAAGCTAAAAAGTAGTCCATCTTCCAAAAAGCACATGAGATAAAACGGGAATAAAAAAGCGGCTTGTGCTTCGCATAGATACCGACGTCAGACGAAAACATCAAGCCGCTTACAAATTGCTGACTTCATAGTCCTCTATTAGAACTCCTCTGACCGAAGAGCAGGACGCGGCTTAGATGCCGGTGCTGGGGAAGACGTCGTGGTCGTCATGCTTGGTGAAATCTTGGACGGTGATACAGCGTGCTTTAGCGGGGCCGGCGACATTGCGCGGGCCAGCTTCGGTGACGCAGTGCGTGCTGGCTTTGGCGAAGGAGTGTGGGCTTTTGGTGTCGGCTGCTCGTCGCCGTTCACGAAGCTGCCACTCTCCGAGCCAGGGCTGTGGCGACCAGGCACGCCACCCTTGCCTGTACTGCGAATTGCTTTAGCCTCTTCCTGATCAATGAAGCGGATGCTGTTAAGCACGTACTCCTTGTCCGTCTTCATCTTCTTCAGGTTCGCATTTACCACGTCCTCCTCGGTCACGGCCGCGTCAACAGTCACGCTAATGTCCTTCAGTAGCTTTACGTCAATCTCCGAAATGTTCTTTTTGAACTTAAGAAGCTCCACGATCCACTGCTCCGAGGGGTGTACAGCGTCAGCCAGCTTGGCTTCGTTGTTGCCACCCTTGTGGCTGGGACCATTCTGGCGAGCAATCTTCTTTTGAATCTCCTTGAGAGCAGGAATGCGCTCCAGCATGTCTTCATCCCAATTAATCTCCTTGCCCTTGACCTTCAGGTTCTCGATTTCCTTACGCTCTTTGCGGCTCGAGTCAAGCCACTTCTCCATACGCTTGATGTCACGCTCAATGACAATTTTCAGCCAGTCGAATACGTCACGCACTTCCTTCATTTCTTTGTCCACCTTGAACCGCTTCGCAAAATCAGCACACGCTTTGCGGTCGTAGTAGTTGCGGTTCTTGATGAGCTTCTTGGCGGCCTCAAGTTCAGCCTCTCGTGGCAAAATCGGCTTTTCACGCTCAGACCGGCAGTTCCTGATCTTACCCAGCTCAGCGGGGTATTTCAGGTGCTCAGCCTGCATCTGCTTGTAGCTTTCGATCAGCGTACGCGCACGCTGCTCGATCAGGTCAGCCTCCGAACGGCGCACCTGCGACTCCTTTGCAAGCGAAGTCTTCTCAGTGGCGCACAGAGCACTCTCCTCGCTCTCCATTCGCTCCATGAAAGCGTTGATCGAGTCAATCTCACCCTCGAGCTGAGTGGAAGCATGCTGCAAGCTCTCCTCCTCCTCTAGCAGACGGTTCGTCAGCATCTCGAAAGCCTCAGCCAACTGCTGGAGCAGACTACGAATTTGCGAGGTCATCATCATATCCTCATCTTTCTCCTGTGGCTTTGACACGCTGTACACATCCTCAACCTTTGCCCAGACCTCGCGCTTTTCCACCTTCTCCTTAGAGCAACTGCGACTTGCCGATAGTTCCTTCACGACGCTCTTAATGTCAGATTCATCATCTTTCTGCAGACGCGAAGACTCATTCAAATCATCACTGCGCTCCTTGCGACCAGCTTCAAGGATCTTCATGTCCTTCTTGCCAAGGTCGGCGGCGTGTCCAGTAACGTATTGGTACCAATTCTCTGAGGACTTCAGCATTTCCACCTTGTGCTCACCGTTCAGGATGCGCTGCTTCTGGCGCATGATACGTTCCTCCTGGTCGATCACACGGTGAGTAAAGTGCTGCACTAACTTCTGCAGGTCGGCAGCACGAACAGCCTGTTTCACAAGACGGTTCGCCTCAACCTTTTTGCGGTTCGAGTGTTCGTGCAACGAGTCCAGCACCCAGTTGCCAGCGTTGTTCATCAGCTCAGTGATGAAGCGCTTCTTTTCCTCACGCTTGGATTCCTCGTCCGCCAAAAGTTTTGTTTCTGTATCGATCAGCTTGTTGAACTGAATAATCATTTCCTCCTCCAGCGTGGCGTCCTTCACCTCCTTCTCCAGGGTCTTAATGTGCTGGTTCATGCGCTCCAGAAGAGATGTGCACAGCTTGTTTTCATTCTCAAGCTGAGCAGCTTGATCGTCAAGCTCCTTTTGGAACTGAGCACGGCGACGACGGACGTCATTCATGAACTCATCACGTTCGTCCACCTCGGCATCACCACCTTCTTGCGGGATACGCTTATTGCTGTCCTTCACAGCGTGCAGTTCACTAGCACGAACCTTCATGTCCGCCTCTAGACGAGCAACATACTCAGGCGTGATGATCAGAGCGTTACGAGCTTCATCCAGGGTGTTCTTGCAGTCCTCACGGTGTTCATCAAACAACTTGCAGTCTGCCTTGCGCTCTTCTGTGAGAGCAGCACGCTTGAATAGCAGCATGCGCTGCGACTTGGTTTGGCGAGCGAGCTGATCACTGAAGACATCCGTGCGCTTCGTGCCACGCGTAATACGGGCCGTGTGTTCATCGAGACGCGCCTTGGTGGTATTGATACGCTCGTTTTGCACAACACGCCACTCCTTCTCATATTCTTCATCAAGAGCCTCGTGGCGCGAACGCCGCTGAGCGATTGAGCGTGTACGGGCATTGATTTCCGTCTTGAGTGCCAGCAAATCAGCCTCCACAGTATTGACCTTCTTTTGGCGAGCTTCAGCTTCCAGACGCACATACTCGTGCTCCTGCTTGTAGCGAGCGTCCTCGTCGCGACACATTTCGTCCTCACGCTTCATGTTCGCACGGCTGCTGGTCCAGTGCTCACGTTCCTTCGCAAGCTTCATCCACTCATCATCGACAGTGTTGCCTTCTCCCTCCAAAAGCTCAGGCTCCTTTTCCTGAATCTTCACAAAGTCTGCGTGCAAGTCAACGAGCTCGCGCGGTATCTTGTCCTTCTGGTCTTTAATAGAGTGGAAAATACCGTACGAATGCACAATAAAGTCGTTGGCAATATCCTTTGATACGGCAGGGTTGTGAGCCTCAGACCAGTCAGCACGGTGCTTTGACCACTGCGCCATATCGTTGTTCCACTGCGTCGTGTCATGCTGGAAACTGTCCTTCGACTTGGTAAATTCAACCTTCTCTTTTATCCGAGTCTCCTCCTCGCTATTACGCACCGACTGATCGCGCACGACATCAAAGAACAGGATGTGGGTGGTGCTGGACTGCTTCTCGTAGCGCTCCTTTTCACGCTCCATACGCTCCGTCTGAGTTTCCTTGCGAGCTTCGAGGGCCTTAAAACGGAAGGCAGCCTGCTCACGACGGATGTTCTGAGCGGCTTCACGCTTCTTCTGCTCCTCCGCACGGGCAGCCTGCTGGGATAGACGTTGCTTCTGCTTCTTCTGACGGTCGACCAAACCATTCACCTTGGTACGGATCTGGGCCTTCTCCAGCTCCAGGCGTAAACTCTTGATCAGCGTATTGTACTGGTCCGTGTTGTATAGCGACTTCTTGCCGCTCTTCTGGAACTGATGTAGCTGCTCCGTTGGTAGCGCCAAAAAAGCCTTCAGGCAGTCAGCATCACGCAGAAGCGGGTGCAGCATGCAGCCGTACAGGAAAGTCTGCAGCACCTTCTCGCGGTCATTACGCGCTGTTCGCTTGTCCGGAAAGTTCGGCAGAGCTTTTGGGTTCGAAAAATCACCAAGCTTGGCAAACAACCACTCGAAGTCAGCCATGCTGCGCTCCTCGCGAATCTGGTACTCGTGCGTGACCGCACGGTCCGAATCAGTCACCGTATAGTTGGCAGCCTTGGCAGCATCCTCATTTGGCTCGCAGTATGTCTTCAGCATGTACGTCTCGGTTTCCGGAGTGCTACCGTTCGACTTGGCAGTAATTTTCACGAGAATGTCAAGCTTGGTCAGGTACTCAAAGCCGGCAGGCGGTTTCGAGACAGGATCCATGACTGGCTTGATGAAATTTGGCGGAGATTCGTTACACGACGTACAGTGACGCACAGGCACGGGAAAACCCAGCTCCGGGATGGGCTTCGACTCAACACTACACTGGTTACATACACTGCGCGTGCAGCGACGACAGTGATGCTGACGACGACCTAGCTTGAAGGGGCGGAAACAGACCTGGCACTCCGTCTGGTCACTACGAGCAGTGTCCGACACGAAGTGACTGGACGAATCATTGCCTAGCAGACTCGAATCACGAGAGCGACCCGACTCGTCGCGACTGCGAGCAGTAGGGTCCTGAAGGTTGCGGTACGCGTCGTTAATCTTTTCAAGAGTCTCTTGATCCTCAACTTTCGTGGGATCCATAGAGCGCGACTTTTTCTTGTACTGAGCAGCGATCTCTTCGGGGGAAGCGTCCTTGGACACACCAAGCACATCGTAGCTCTCCTGACCAGACAAGGAGTGGTTGACAGGGCCTCGACGTTGCGCAAACACGTCAGCGGGCGTCGTGATGGCTTTCATCTGCAAAGCCGTGATACAATTACGGCAGCATCGCTGCTGCGCGTTGCCGTAGCCGAATGAGGCCGGCACCTGAATCTTGTGGTTCACACACGGGCGGCAGAATAACAAACCGCACACACGACAATGGTGGCGACGCGGCTTGGGGAAGCCAAAGGGCGTCTTACAGTCCATACACTCGTTGCTGAAGTTGTCGGGCACCCAGAGCTTTTCCAGACCGGCGACATCTGACGGCATACTATCCAATGAGCCGCGGCCGTGGCTCTCATTCGAACGTCCGTCGCTCTGCGTCCGCGAGGCGAAGGGCGGCGGCTGAGCAACCGGCTGAGGGCGGCGCTGTGGGGTAGAGGATGGAGCCGACGGCACTGGAGCCGGTTGAGAAACAGCCGAGCTGGCACTGGACGGGGCCGTCGACTGGCCACTTGTTGGCGGACGTGCAGCAGACTTTGGAGCCACGGGCTGCTTAGTCTCAAGCTGCCTCGGCTTGGGCTCCTTGACGGCCGGCGTAGGAGCCGCCTGCTTAACGGATGGTTTGGGGGATGTCTGCATAGGCTCAGACTTCTTGGTGGTCGGAGCGAGTTTAGCTGCTACAGCCGGAGCAGGAGGCGCCTGCTTGGCCGCCACAGCGGGAGGCACTTGCTTGGGAGTTGCAACCGGAACGGGAGGCGCTTGCTTGGGAGTTGCAACCGGAACGGGAGGCGCTTGCTTGGGAGCCGGAGCGGGGGGCGCTTGCTTGGGAGCCGCAGGCGGAGCTGGAATAGCTGCGGCCTTACGCTGAGATTGTGAGAAGCTCACTTTTGTGCCGCAGTAGATGCAAAAGGCGTCGGCTTCGGACACGTCGCGGCCACACTTGACGCACAAGAGGCCAATGTCAGTGGCAGCCGAAGCCATCACTTTTTCAGTATTTCCGGCCATCTCGATTCGAGTCTTGCTACTATGTATCCTAATGGATTGGACAAACGAGACCGAGGCGCGAGAGTCAGCAAGTGGAGTTGTGAGCGACACACGGCAAGAGGGAGCAGGGGGAGAGGTCGATCGTAGCGTCGACGCGATTGCTCCTCTTTGTCGACTCTTTGGATTCGAGCACGTACGTTGTAATGTGGTCGGATTGTTAAGGCATCTTTACCCAGAGGGCGAAGATGGTGAAGCCAAATAAACTATGCGGCTTTCTTACATACGTAAGTTTTTAAAGAAATACTTAGAGTTTGTATGGTAATTGACTTGTGATTTTTCTGAGACCAGATTCGACGTAACACCGAATGTTACGAGAGTAGATCTATATGTGGTGAAGAGCAAGTGGAGCAATACGTTCATAAGTTGGACAGATGACTTCTTGTCCTGACCTCCAGACGGTCTTAATTTTGCCAAAGAATGTTTGTAAAGCTGCTTTTGCACTTTACGAATAGAAAGTAGCGTTGAGTTCGATAAAATGTCAATCCGACGAAGACCTTGGCGTACTTCCATTAGTGCTGTTTCCAAAGTGACGGAGAAAAGGTTGTAGTCAAGGCTATGTGCAGAAGAGCAAAGCGTCGTCTTTCCGTCTTGGTCACGCAAATCTATTCATACCTAGCAACGTGTATTATAGAAGGTAGTTGATCCCGTGCAGACTTTTTATTGTTCTACGGTAGGGTGACTGCAGTACAACAGCAGCTCATGTGTACGGACCATACGTTCCGAATGTCGACACCGTAGCGCGGCTGTGATGCCCTTGGTGGATGACGACGTGTGAGGTTGAAAAGAGAGTCCGAACTACCGGCTTTATGTCACGAGTGCCCCCTTGCCGCGATAGGCTTCGCGTGACTCACGCCGTGGTGTCGAACGCTGCATCGCTGCATGTGCACTTTTCGTTGAGGTTTCTTTGCGCCTCTCTCTACGGTTAATAGAGACGTACATTAAATGGTCGAGTGTCAACGCACGCCATGGAATACCCGATTCGACAAGCCGCGTGGCAACTTCTTTACCAACGTAGTGATGCTCGACAATGACGCGATGGCCCACCCCTTCTTCGTTGCGACTGGTAGCAGCAGGAAAGTTAGCAACAGCTGCACATCTTAACGCAAATATAGACAGTTGCTTTGCCACGCCCCTCCAGAGACACCTCGTTCTGCCCTATTTGTCACCTGCACCTCACGTTGAAGTTGTCAGTACCATGCGGGATTCGCCAAGTGGAGCGGGGCGTTGCACAAACTTCATCTCCCGTCGTTCTTACCGTTTCTGAATCAGTAGTGGATACCTCCTTTAGTAGTCGTATCTGTACGTACTACGAGAAGAAAATAGAAGCATGCGCGAGCGGATTCGCAGTGCAATAAAGGCGAGATAGGGCTAGTGAATGACAGAACGCCCTGCGCGGGGGGGGGGAGGGCGGGGTCTAATCGTGTCAACGGAAATCATACTCAAGACTCTTCATCCGCTTCCGTAAGCTCCGCATGTCTCGTCAGGGCGTCAGTTTTGCGGGGCAACGGCTTGCTTGTATCCGCCGACGCCACTCTCGTTAGTTTTTTTCACTCGCCGAGTGTACAAGCATTGGTAAGAAATACTACAGCGAGTACGGCACGCTGATGCGTGCAGTCTATCATTGGGAAGAACAGATTTACTAGCATCGCATGGGGTTTCGTCATAAAACATGTGTAATAAGAAGGGTGATGCGGACGATAGCTCAGCGTACGAGCCTCGGTTCAAGATGCCGTCTGGTCCTCAATGGACGCCTTAACTTACGTTGCGCCTGAAAACTTGCAACTTTTTACCGCAACGTAATTTCAAATCCGTGCAACACAATCCGTTCAAGTTCTCGCCGTCCACCGCTATGAGCTTCAGACTACGGTCTCAGTATGCGGCATCAGCGCTACGCCGCTGTCGCATGCCATTTCATGCCACTTTTTCTAGCTCACCAGATGATCCTAAGCAACAAAAGACCCCTCCTACCGCTACAAAACCATCAAAATACAAGAGAATTCTGTCGGTGCGTTCGTCTCCGGCGCAAAATTTGCGGAACGCTCTGGAAGCTTTGGATGAGATGATTGAGGAGGCAGATCGCAAGGTCGTGAAGAAGTACAGACCCAATATGTTTGCAGAGTTCAAGCAACTTAACGACACGGAAGGTAAGGTACTGGAAGGTACGGAGACGCTTATTCAAGTGGACAAAGCCAAGAGTGTCCCGTCATTGAAGGTGAACACTTTGGAAGGCAAGCAGATGGACATGCAGAATGTTGTAATGAATGGAAAAGTCACGCTTGTGCTTACGTCCTTCAAGAATTTCGGCCTGAATATGCTGCCAGCTTGGCGAGATGGGTTTGTGGCTGCTATGAGTGACACGAAGGGCAAAGTGGACACTCGTGTACAGACGGTGACGCTCAATGTGATTGAGGAATGGTACATGAAAATTGTGAGTAGGAGCATCACGAAAGGGTTACAGGAGAAGATCCCCAAGGAGTTACACGCCATGACATTTGCTCATTTCGGACGTTGCGATGAATTTCGAACGCCTATGGCTTTGGACAATAGTTTTGTGGGTTATGCGCACCTTGTGGACACAAAAGGACGTATTCGATGGATGTACGCTTTGACTTTGGGCGGCTTGCTGGCTGGCTGGTTAAGTGATTGTGTGACTTAAGTGATTACTGTGGTCGTTGTTTTTGTAGTGCTGGAGGACCTGCGACGCCAAAGGAGTTGGAGAGGTTAATGAACGTGACGAAGCAATTGTTAGCACAAAGCTCACCGACTCGTCGTCGATAAAGGGGATAGATGTGTTTGATAGAATACGCGCGCCTAGATTACAAAAACAAGAATGCAGATTTTGGGAAGCACCCTGTGCAGCGGTGGATGGGAGGTGTGGTAACTGTTGCTCGAGCTATTGGTTCGGCATCGTTGTTTACTTGATCACTAAACTATCATGGAAAAAACAACTGCAGTGATCAAGTGTGCAAACTGGTGCTATATTTGATTGCGATCTTGCGTCCTTGCTACTGCAGTCTCGTTGCGTAAAGGACTCATAGTGCTTTCGTGTTTCGTGATATCAGAGTTGCTGACAACACAATACTACTATCTGTTAGAGATTTATCCTAGAGCAAACACTGAAGAATAAGCCGGCACACATATTCAGCTGAAAATCCATCAGCACAATACCGTCTAGCATTAGTAAACGAGACGTATAAGTGACTGCACGAGCGAAACGTCGTAAAACCTTCTATCTCATCACTTGCAAAGTTCTTAAGATCTCCCTATGCAATGCGCTGAGCCTGTAGATGTCACAAACAAAAGTCACAATATCATTTTCCCACTGTCCTTCTCCTCCGTAGAACGATCGATGCTTTAGGGAAAAGTAGAGATATTAGACAGTCATAGTACGTGCTGCATGGAAAAAATGCAGGTCAACAATGATAAACATCTCGGTTTGTTTGGTCGACGAGTCAAAAGGGTAAACATCGTAGTTTTTACTAAGAAGCAATTAGGATTTTGCGCATGAGTGGATGATTTCATTGATAAGCGATGAGAGCTCCAAGGCAAAGATGTCGCCATCATACTTCCATAGATATAATTCCTTGTAATGACCGAACTCAGCGATAGAAGTGGTGGATACAACTCCTATCGCTGAATAAGCCGCATTACAAGGAATCATGATCAAATGTGGTTGCTGTTAGAATATGTAAATGATACTGTGTGCTGAGTTATGCCGTGCATCGATAAGGTATACGAGCTTATCGCCCACATGCTAGTGTAGATAGAATGAACAGAGTTTAAGGGGCCAAATACCTGTGTCGCAAGGATCTGCTACAAGTAGCTTAGTAGCTGTTGCCCAGGGTGTACTGCCAACACGTCACAAAGCGGTTCATCGAATTTAAAAGCATATCCGGAAACACTCATCTTGCTGCAAAATATGCGTGCACTGGCATGGGCTAGCGTCAGCTATGTGCTTCGAGACGTCCATGTTACGCAGTGTCATGTTCACATTGATCTGGATACTGTCTGCGCACCCAACTGATTTCCTCAGAGTTGCTCTACGCGTTCTCTAAGTAGGGAATCATAATTGTATTTTGCAACTTTGTTATTCCATCGTCACAGTTTATTGTAATCATGCCATCTCGTCTTCCCAAATCGGCTGCTTCACGAAGTCGGCATGGATATCTATTTGCGCGACGGCATGAAGACTTCATGTACCAAACACGTGTCTCTTTTGTACGCTGTCCACTGAAACTCCATCGGCATAAATCTACGTAGTTAAAAGTGATCCAAGTCTGACCGAGTGAACTTCCTAAACTTGGAAAACAGCTCCTCGATGCGGTCGACAACAGCGTTATTCGGTACAGCAGATGCTACAACCTCACAAGGTGATTGAGAGACTGAAGCTCCTGCAGCATCGCTGCTGCTAAGCTCTCGAAGCAACTTCGGCTAGCCACGAGCATATTTCTCCATCAGATCTTGGCCCCCTCGAAATTGTCGCACGTAATCAGACACATCGTGGATTACTAGTTTTTCACCTGGGTTCGTTCGTTGTACCTCTTGCCAACTTGACCAAGCGTTGAATGGTCTGGAGTGCCATGAGCTCGCTCGTCTAGGTAAGAGTTGCTAGACTTTGTCTTTATTATTAACAACAACAGAGGATTAAGTTGTAAGCGAAAGAAAGGAATTACAACCCTCAGTTGACTGTGCATGGAATGATTAACATAGTTGAAGGATTTGCTCATTGCAATCCTTTGGGGATCCTGCTACTATTCGAATCGTGTGCTCCCGGGGTCTTTTTCACGGTTTTATCCCTCGTGTTTTAACGCAGAAACACAATTTTCTATCGAAACTTTAAGAAGTATGAGCGACGGCATGGAGCCAAAAGTGGACCTGTTGGAATTGGACCAGAAGCCCATGACGCCAGCCGTAGACGTGACCCAGATCGCGAACGCCATCTGTCGCATTCTCAAAGACGCGGATCTAGAGCAGCTCTCACGTCGCATGATCCGGAAGCAACTGGAGGCGGAGTTCCACACGGACCTGTCGAATTACAAAGACGTGATTAATGCGACGATTCTGGAGGTTATTGAACAGCAGCAGGCCGACGATGAGGATAAGGGGCTAGAGCCGGAACCAAGTGACGACGATGAAGACGACGAGGAGGACAAGCAGGAAGGACAGAGGAAGAAAAAGACGGCACTTACGAAGAAGAAGGCGACACCGAAGAAACGCAAACGGAAGGCAGAGGGGGAGGAAGGCAAGAAGACGGGTGGGGGAGGAGGCTTTAATGCTCAGTTGTGCTTGTCTCCAGAGCTTGCACAGGTTGTAGGTGCAGAGACTATGGCGAGACCTCAAGTTGTCAAGGCACTATGGGCCTACATACGAGAGCACAACTTGCAGGATCCAAACAATAAGAAGTCCATTATCTTGGATGATACACTGCGTGGCGTGTTCCAACGTGACTCGTTCACGATGTTTAGTATGAACAAGTTTGTCAAACGTCATGTGCGCAAGCCTGACGATATGCCACCTGGAGGATGGAGTCAGATCCCGCGTGATGGCGTCTCAAGTGATGAAGACACGGAAGCAAAGGCGAAGAAGAAGCCGGCTAAGCGAAAAAAGAAAACCACTTCGACGGAAGAGGGAGACGATGAAGTCAAAAAGAAGGCAAACCCGTTCAACACGGAGCTGTCCCTGTCACCGGAACTGGCTTCGCTCGTCGGTAGTGACCGTTTGGCACGGCCGCAGATCGTGAAGGCATTGTGGGCATACATTCATGAGCACGACCTGCAGGATCCGCAGGATAAACGCACCATTCTTCTGGACAATAGGATGCGGCAGGTTTTTCAGCGGGACTCTTTCACCATGTTCTCTATGAACAAATATATCAAGCGCCACGCACGCAAATTGGTAGATTTGCCTCCAGGCGGCTGGACCGACATCCCGCGCGACGGATTATCGAGTGACGAGGATGAGAACAAGCCCAAGAAGAAAACTCGGAAAGGTAAATGAGAGGTGACGGTGGCAGTACGAGGTTGTGGCCGTGTAGACGCAATAGCGATGAAATGCGAGCGGCCAATTTCAGTATATGAAGTTGACGTGGCTGGGGCATTAAGCTCGAGGACAGCGGTCACAAGGCGAGTAAATTCGCTCATAATAATATTGAGCGTGATAAATGTAGGTCGAACAATATGCAAGTCGCTAGATAGTCGAGACTTTGAAACCAGCGGGATGAGGACCGCTTAAACAAAGATTAAGAGTAGAAATTTGCATAAACACACGTGGTTGGGTTTTGGAGTAGAACAAAACTATACAGTTGAAAATGTATACAGCACGCCTTACTGTACGAGCACGACTTAAGTTCGAAAGTACCGGTACACAGCCGGTATATTGCACTAATGGGCGTACATACTGTCGTACCATGAGATCGAGCTTTTTATTCGTCCAGGCGTTATGGAATGTGAAAAGTTTGACTGGATCAGCAACTTCTGTTTGACGCAGACCATCAAGACAGCCATGGACGCTTCCGTAATAGCCAGCTTCCGCAAGAACGTGGTGCTAAAGCCAGAGGTTTGTTACTTAGTTGCACTGTCGCATGTAATTTGGCATCAATGTCGACACTAATAGTGTAATACTTGTTTTATCCTGTGCAGGTATTTTTCATGCCGTCGGAAGAGGTCGCCAAGGAGATTAAAGCGTTCACCAAGCATGCGTATGATCACACATCCAAGTACCAGAGTAAGACAGGCGCCTCTCAGCCGCTGGAAGAGCTCTATGTGGACGGATTCGATGCAGACCAGGTTTGGGAGCAGCTCCGCCTGCTGAACGGTCCGTTGGTGAATGAGATGACGCAGCGCATCCGCACGTTTAGCAAGAATCCGGAAAACATTCTGCTGTTTCCGTTGGAAAAACAGGAAGAGAATGGAGAAGAGAAGGAACACGACAGTGACGCTGAAAGCGACAAGGTGGAGAAAGACTCAGACGAAGACAGAAGTGACGAGGAGGATAAATCGGATGATAGCAATGCCGAATCTGGTAAAGTGGAGAAGGAGGTAAAGAAGACGAAAAAAAAGAGCAAGAAGGCTCGTGATGTTGCGGAGGATGGTTTTTTTGACTGGGACGAAATGGACAAGGCGGCTGAGGAAGAGGAAGGTGAAGATGAAGATGATGAAGACATGGAAAGCAATAAAGATGATGATGATAATGACGATGAAGACGACGATGATGACTCAGAGATGGAGGAAAGATCGGATGCTGAAGCTGCGGAGGACATAAAATACGATGATTTTTTCAAAGACGAGGATGAAGAGGAAACTTTAGAGGGTGAGGAGGAAGAGGAAGAGCTGAACGATGTTGAGATGCAGAAAGGCGGTAAAGACGAGGAGGACTACCCGACAATTAACCGCACGAAGCCTGGCGAAGAAGTGAAGGTCGATGACGAAGAGCTTGCCGAGCGCGGCATCATGTCGTCGCATCAGCGTCGGCGCCAGCGCCTTCAGAAGGAGATTAAAGAACTTGAACGAGAGGCCATTAGCGAGAAGCCGTGGGTGCTGAAGGGCGAGGTGCGCTCGGCTGCTCGACCGGAAAATAGTTTGTTAGAAGCGGTGCTAGACTACGACAGACCAGTGAAGGCAGCTCCTGTAATCACGGAGGAGGTGTCTATTGCGCTTGAGGAAATGGTCAAGAAGCGTATTCTCGAGGATGACTTTGACGATGTGATCCGTAAGTTTGCTGGTAATGAGGAGGACCAGAAGAAAAAGCTAGAGGAGGTGTCGATGGAGAAGTCCAAGGAGGGCCTTGGCGAGATTTACGAGAAGGAGTACATGAAGACCGCTATGGGCTTTGAGGCGGACGACGAGTCCAAGCAGGATCAGGAAGAGATTGATGTGATGTTTAAAAGCCTATGCTGGAAGCTTGACGCGCTGTCGAACTATCACTTCACGCCCAAACCGGCCGTGAAGGAACTGCAGGTTAAGCCTGCAGTGCCTGCGATCGCAATGGAGGAAGTGGTGCCTATCAGCGTAAGCGACGCAAACCTAAAGGCACCGGAGGAGGTATACGAGAAGAAACGCAAGCGCGGCGAGGCTGTCCTGCAATCCAAGGAAGAGATGACCCAAAATGAGCGCAAGGCGCTGCGCAATGCTAAGAAGCACGCACGGCGGAAGGAAAAGCGGCAGCGCGAATTCGACGAGCGGCTGGTGGCCAAGCTCAACCCCGGCCTGGGCAACAAGTATGAGAAGAAGAAGATGCTTGAGAGCATCGCCGGTGCCAAGAACATTACGACGGGCAAGCAGATCGAGGGCTCGTCAAAGCAGTTCTCCAATTCAAAGGAATTCTTTTCACGTCTACAGGTACGGCCTCACGCTGCTAATTTGCGTCTCACTGGCGTATTTGTTTCTGTGGACTGATCCGTGTGACTCGTGTTTTTTTTGCGTATTTGCAGGACGAGGTGCAGGAAAAAATCAGGACTGCAAGCAGCAGTAAGTAGCGCGAAAAGGATCGTGTGGCAGCGAAAAGCGAGCAATAGAAATGGATTTTTGAGCATTATGTACGTCGGTCTCAATCATCACTGTTCTGTAACAGCTGCAGCGGTTCAGCTGCACGATTTTCTCGGTACATATTTTTATTTGAGACCTGATTTGTTTGGCATCTTTCTACTTTATATTTTTTACTGAAAACGGTAGATGCAGTACAATGTACCGGTATTTTGCAAAGAATATCCTAGATCAAAAGATCGGCAATTGATTGCACTCTCACTTTTGAATTTGCTCAGTCCAGCTCAAGTGACACGAATCATCTTCTCTCTTTCTACTATGCAAGTAAACGCGCATCAATATTCTAGTGATGGCACTACCGTGCAGCGAGAAACGGATGGAGTGTATGGCCACCCGCTCATGTGCGCCAGTGTGCCCTTCGATGTGATGCCGCAGCAATCGGTGCCTGCCCGTGTAGCGCACCAGCTCATCAAGGACGAGCTGGCACTGGACGGCAACCCCAAGATGAATTTGGCATCCTTCGTCACCACGTACATGGAGCCTGAAGCCGAGGACTTGATGGTTGACGGTCTACGCAAGAACTACATTGACTTGGACCAGTACCCGCAGACAGCAGAGATCCATAACCGCTGCGTAACGATGCTGGCCAACCTGTACCACGCACCACTGGAGCCTGGACAGAAGGCCACAGGAACAGGGTGCATTGGCTCTTCGGAGGCCATCATGCTGGCCGGTCTGGCTATGAAACGCAAGTGGAAGGACCGCCGGATCGCCGCTGGCTTGCCCTACGACAAGCCCAACATGGTCTTTGGCTCGAACGTGCAAGTCTGTTGGCATAAGATGTGCAAGTACTTTGAGATTGAAATACGAGAGGCAGACGTGTCTCCAGACTGTCTCGTGCTTACGTCCCAGCGCACACGTCCTCTTCTCGATGAGAACACGATCGGAGTTAGCGCTATTCTCGGCAGCACTTTTAATGGAGAGTACGAAGACGTTAAGTCGATCCATGACATGCTAGTGGCTGAAAACGAGGCCAATGGATGGACCATTCCGCTGCATGTGGATGCAGCCAGTGGCGGCTTCATTGCCCCATTCTTAAACCCGGAGCTCGAATGGGACTTTCGTTTACCTAATGTCAAGAGTATCAACGTCAGTGGCCATAAGTTCGGACTTGTGTACGCTGGTATGGGCTGGGCGGTATGGCGCGAGCCGGAAGATCTTCCTGAAGACCTTGTGTTCCACGTGAACTATTTGGGTGGAGATCAGTCGTCGTTCACACTTAACTTCTCCAAGGGTGCGGGGAATGTGATAGCACAATACTATAACATGCTGAGGTTCGGCTTTGAGGGATATCGTCGTATTATGGAAGCTGGTATGCAAAATGCACAATTGCTGCGTGGAGCACTGGTGGCTACTGGTCACTTCCGTATCGTGGACAAGCAGCACATGCCGCTCGTGGCATTTGCGCTGATTGACTCGTCTCGCTACACGTGCTTCGACATCCAGGATAAGCTCAAAAGCCGCGGGTGGATTGTTCCAGCCTACACGTGCCCCAGCGGCGCCGAATCGCTGACGATCATGCGTGTGGTCGTGAAGCAGAATTTCTCGTCGCAAATGGTGAACATGCTGGTTGAAGATATTATCAAGGCCATTGAGGCTCTTGAGAAGCACCATGTCCTGGTCGACACGGCGATGTCGTCGCCCAAGGCGAATAATAAGCACTTCAAGGACATTGTGCACTCCCTCAAGGCCAACATTGGGCACCAGAAGTCGGGCCTTACGACGCACGGTGTATGCTAGTTCTGCTTGTTGAAGCATACGACGTGCGGTCACGTCCAGTACGCCGCATTCAAGCTTTACCGCGCTCTGTAGTCGTAATTTCTGCGTTACCTGGAAAGTGTAAACGACATGCAGTCGTCTTTTCCAAGAGAAAAAAACAATCTTACTTGAAGTAACATGCTTGGATGAATGAATCTACGTCTTTAGTATACTGAGACGGAGAAAGTAGGAGCCTGATCTAGTGCAACACGTTCACGCAGTAGTGATAGTGTCAAGCACGAACGCTTACTAATTGACGATTCGCATGTAATTGTTGCCCCGTGTCCAGCATATCGTGATTGCGGCTTCGTGGATCACTTGCGAGCATCATTTAGCTCGCGTTCTTTTGTGCAATAGCGTCGAAAGACGATGTTGACAATCTGCGGATGGCTTGTGACTGAGTCTATTGCCGTCACGCCCGACCAAAGCATCAGCTCGAATGAGGTGTTGGTTTCGGAAAGCAAGCAGCAGGTTAGTGCACTCATCGGTGAATATTAAGGTTGACATGATCGTTGCACATCGCCATATCATCCGCCAGCACGTTACTGAACAAAGCTTTGTAGAAGCGTTTTATGATGGTTACAAGCGCAAAATCCAGTCTTTACACGCACGTAGATAGATGGAGACGACGGTGCATCCCACTGATGCATGTCAATGGAGTAAAAATCGATTAGATGAGCTCAGCCATCGGATTCGAGTTCACCGCGTCGTTCGCTCTTTGAATAGGTCATGCAATGGTTGCCTACATTGCGCCAAAGTATATGCACTTGTGTCTACGAATCCGATTGAGAATGGATTCTGGTTTTGCTTAAACGTGTCGTTTATGGTTGTTAACATCAGTAGCTTCGCGAGACGCAACTTCAGGTACTAAACGACATCCTTACCGGCCACTTGAAACCTCCATCGTCTCCCATTCTTCTGTTGTTTCTCATTATCAACATTAACTTTACCGAGCAATCGACTGCTGGGCTTCCGACCTGGGAACGTGAACGAGTCCACAGTATTGGTGAGACATTGTGCATCCTCTAAACACTCTGCACCTGCGGTCCGACAGAGATGTCATGTCTATAGCATTGTAGATGAATCGGTTGGAAGTCGTGATTGAGCCTTCTATTGACACTATCAGCGTCAGGTGTTGCGAAACGACGTACACGTCTCACATACCTCCACTTCTCACCTCGCATATTTGATACAGCCTGTTAACTCATTTCCATGTGTGGCCGATCGCGCTGCACCCTAACGCGCGAGCAGGTGGTGCAAGTTGCAGGCGTCGCTCCAGAGGACTTTGTAGATGGTGACAAGTGTACGAAGAAAGAGATGATTGAGAAGAAAGCGCACTGTGATGCTAAATAGATCACTTGCTTTGCAATAGACAATCCGGTGGAGAATATGGGGCCGGGACGATATGGACCTGTACTTTTGCAACATGGTGGAGCAAAGGTAGAGAGTGAGAGGAGCGAAAAAACACGCTTGCAAGCCATGCGAGTACGTGCTGTAGTATATATTGTCTGTTAGCATCGATTTGGTGGCTTTGCAATTGACTTGTGGATGGACTACCGGTATGTGTAGTGGGGAATGGTTCCATCCTTTGCCAAAGCAAATGCAAAACCAGACCACTTCCGGATGTTCAATGCCAGGTACAAGACTAACGGTAAGTAACAAAATGTACAAAAGGTGACGATTGCGCTGTGATACAGATCCGAGAATTTACGGGAGCGACCGGCATTTAAGCGGGTGTTGGAGTCGAAGAGATGTGTGGTGATGTGTGAAGGGTGAGCAACTTTAGCTTGTTTCATGAAACTTGTTGTGGAATCTAACGAAATTGTACAGATACTACGAGTGGCAACAAGTGGGTAAAAGAGAGAAGCAGCCATTTTACTTTTACCGAGAAGGCAGTGTGATGAAGGTAAGCGGAAGACTGATTGTTTGGAAGCATTGATTGTCTGACGATTTAAAACTTCTTTTAAAGTTCGCTGGCCTGTATGATCACTGGAAAAGCGAGGCAGGTGAGCTGATGTACTCGTACACTATGCTTACAACTGCCATTGCACCGGAGCTAAAGTGGTTGCACACTCGTATGCCAGTAAGACGACCACCTTAAGAGACTGGTTGAAGTATTGAAAGTGACATTTATACGGTTCAGGTTATTTTATCTGACATAGGCGTTGACCGGTGGCTTTCTGGCGCAAAGTTTGAAGATCTGAAAGACTTGCTAACATCGTACCGCTCCAACGACTTGAAGTGGCACGCAGTGGATAAGAGAGGCATGACAACTGTAACAACACTGTGTTTGGTTTGTCGTACTGATTGACATTAGATTTATATTGTAGTTGGATTGATGCAGTTTCAAAGTGAAGACTGCGCCAAAAAAGTCAACATCAAGCACGCAGGTATACCGCTTGTCTACATGGATAGCTCATTCCCAATTGACATGGTGTCTGATGCTCCAAACCTTGTTGTCATTGGGTCAGGTGACATTAGACAATTCTTTGGAGTCAAGACAGAGAAGCAAGATCCCTCTGCTTCTTCGCCGATTGCACCATCTGAACAAGCCAAAATGGAGAAGGTAATTTTTTGTGATTCTACACCCGGCTCACGGCTGGAAAAGCATAATGTCAATTCGGACACGTCACCAAAGAAACAATCCAAGCAATTCTCGACCAAGTTTATTCCAGCCTCTTCGCTCCTCGACAAACGGTTTGATGAGGGAAACCACGATTTGACACCATCAAAATTACCAACAAAGCGCCGTCGTGTGTCATCTCCAACAAAAAAGACGTTGAAGTAGGAGTCTCCATCCAAGTTGAAGTCACCGGGGTCCAAAACAATCGTCTTATTATTTTCAATACTAAAAACTTGCTTTGCAATAGCTGATAATACCCGTCAAACTTCGGCAAACTTTAAGCGACAGCATTATCGCTCTTTTCAAAGTAACCTTTTGTATCGATGCACTTCTTGTTTTCACCGGCAGAGATACAGGTGCTATGGAAAAAAAATCGTGATCGACTAGTGAGGTGTTTGTGTTTCGCACTCGTCTATAAACTGCGTGCTATACTCCAAGGTATTTCAACGCTCTGTACCGGCGGAAAACTAGACTACTTACCATTAATTTCGATTCGCTCTCTAGCCACATATCACGTACTCACCCTCGTTCATGAGACAACGACAAGCTTTACCTGACGTTCATCCAACATCATGAAATATTCACCCTTAACATCCGATTTTCTTCTTCTTCTGAATTGTCTTCCGTTTCCTACCAGTCATATCCAAGCTTTCATCTGCCGACATTGTCACTGCTTCTTCCTGAACAGCTTTCGCAGCACGCAACTCTCAGCATGCTAGCGGCCGCAAAAAAAGACCCAGCTACGAGAGATAGTGCCGATAGATTGATATTTGCTCGGTTGCAGGATTTAAATGATGGACATGATAAGAACAGACTGCTCTTTGACAAAAAGAAATCTTTAGAGGATACTTTGGCGGAAGATTCCCTTCAAGAGTGGATCAAAAGTTATTCGAGCCGAAGGAAAAAGAAATCCCCATTTCCGCTGTTGTATGATAAGTTGTAGGAGCATTATGGTGACCGAAAGCTAGCACAACAGCTTTATATTTTGGAGCGTAAAGAAGGAAACGATGCTGTAAAGAAAACGGCAAACGAGTTGGCGATGCACCAGATGACGGTTTGGAAGAAAAAGGGATATAGTGGTGACGATCTCTTTAAGGTTCTTAAGCTCAAAGAAGAAGGCGACCGTATGCTCGACAGCCCCTTGTGGTACACGTGGATCATATATTTTTTAAGGCTGAAAAAGCTAACGAACATTAGATTACAAGAGCTTGCAAAACTAGTAGTCCCAGAGCTGAGGGATCACTTGATCGACAACGATCTATACAAGCGGTTCAAGGGTGCTACATCTTTCGAAGGGAAGTTGCAAGCTGAATATAACGAGAAGGTGCTTGTTGAAGTACAAACGAAGGAATTGGAGACGAGAAAGCGCAAGGGAAACGACGACAAAGCACTAGCGTCGATAAAGCGCCAACGAGAAGACGATGGTCAGTAGGAAGGACTACGAACGAGAATTTGGACGAGATTGTACCACAAGCTAGTCATCACGAAACGTGCGATGTAGTATGCTCTGGACGATAAGCTAAAAAAATGCTGGACGACTTACAAGTCACGGGCTGGAAATAGAAGTTTGGGTCTGAAAGCATCGGTGATATTGTTAACAGAACAATGAGGTGTTTTACATGTATATGTTTCCATATTTTTATAGCTTTTGTTTAAGTCTTTGAGTTGTCAATAAAAGTGTTTTACCAGCACAAAGTGTCTTCAACTGAACTTCAATGAAATGTAGTTATAGTGGAGTTGATTTAACTGTTGTGACCAATGTACCCCTTTTCATCACACTGTCCGTCAAAGAACCTTCACCTCATTATTTTAATTTCTCCCTTTTGACACCGCAATATGGACATGAAAGGAGATGCTGCTGAGTTTTGGGCCGCTCAAAGTGCTCAACGCATCTCCACGATGGGCTACCAACTGCCCACATTATCTTTTTGACACGTAGAGTCATTCAACCCTTTATGACTTTGTTGCTTTATATTTGGTGATCATCTTGTGATTTCGAGATTTATACAACGTTGTGGGCATTAAAATAAAGCTCCCTCCAGCGCAAGACGCAGCAGCAAGATGATAACTCTACAGTGAAAAGGTAGCACAGCCAGGTTCGCTTTAGACCAATTTCAACAGCTACTGACGATACGGGATGCTAGAGGAGCCGCAGAGGCAAAGGGAAGGCTATGCAACGCTTTGTGGTGTCGTCAGTCACACCGTTCGTCACGATGGCAGCGACCGGCGACAGTTTTAATGGTCTTGTAATCGCCGAGGAATACGAGAATTATACTCAGTAGTATAAGGTAGAGGGTTGCCGAAAGACAAAGAGTGAGAGAACTAGTATGCGGACGTACAAACCACGCTTTCTCTCCCGTATTTAGTAGTAAAATCTAAAATCTTTTCTTTCGCATCTTTTAGGAACTCCTCAGTCAATTGTCCCTGTGAATTTGTCCACTCCAGCAGATTGGCGCTATCTTTCGCGATCTCGCCAGCTTTGGGAATCTCAGCCACAAGTTCCTCGTTAGCATTCAATGCACCGATTACATTTCCGGCCGAAGGCGTGAGGTTCAAATCAATACCAAGCCCTCTTTCTTCCTCACCACCGTTAACTTCCTCCTTCATGTATGAGCTTGGCCTTAATTGTCGATTCTCTCGTGCGTTTTTCGGTGCATGCTGCGAAGCGACCATCATCGTTACCATAGTCTGTGGACTCCATATCAGCACAACAGCTGTTACTAGCACCATGTACCAGAATAGATGCTTAACTTTGCTGATCGTGCAGGCCATTCTCAATAGAGTCAATGTAGCACTGAAGGGCTGGAGGCGAAAAACAAAGTGAGAAGGTACGAAGTACAGAGCTCCCTCCGTTAAGTTATGGGTACGGTGGACGACGATACCCATAAATGAACGGAGGTTATAACTTATCGGATTATGTTTATTGTACATAAAATAACTTAGATAATAAAAAGAAACCTGGCAGGTCCAGCTCCAAGGTTCAGACTGCTAAAAGAACTTAAGTCCTTGACTCCATTTGTTAGTTGGACTCGGCTTAAAGGTGTGAGACATTTCGTAAGCTTGTATTTTCTGTGCTATTAGTGAAAGCTTTTTGTAAATTTACAGTGTTAAATAGTGTCTTGCCTACCTAGATAGTAGAAGATGTCGAAAAGCTGGAGTAGGAGTTGAGAGACCATCTAGAGCAGCTGCGTGTCCCGGATCCAATGAAGATTTCGGAGCTTTGCAATTCTACGGAGAGGATGAGGGAGCTGAGCGAGAGCGAGATTTGTGGAAAAGGTAAAAGCTAGAATTTTTGGTAATCATAATTCTGTGTTATGCTTGGCTTTTTTTGCTATCCTTTTTCTTCTATGCATACCTATCTACGCTAGTTACCCTACCGTTCCTGCTCTCATCAGGCACAAAAGCAGAAAGAAATTAGTGGAGATGTGGCGCCTGTTGCAGACAAGTTCGCCAGAATTGAAGAGACCAACTTCCTTCATGATAACTGCTCCGTGCTCGATGTATCCCAGTCCAGTAGCCGCTTATAGAGTTCTTTCGCGACCTTCAAATGGACTTTTCGCAACGCACCCATACCGAAACTACCCTTGACATGTGGCTTAGTAGGTTTCTCGTCTAAAGTACTAGAAAAATACTCATCTTATAAAGTTATTTGCCCTGCCTGACTATAACATATAACTTAGCGACCATAGAACAAGCTCGGTGGACATTAATTTGATAACCTACCGGAGGTTGTAACTTATCGGAGGATAACTTATTGAAGGGAGGTCTGTATTCTCGCTACTACGAAGAGCGACGACCATTACGTTTTTATGCAGATTAATTTGAACACTAGAAAGCCAGTCGGTTAAAGGTCACAAGAGTCTAATTGGATGGAACTGTGCAAGCGAGAGTGCAGCAGAGAAAGTGCTTGGCACGAACTGCGGACTACCTTCCGGTATAAGTCATGGACACCTCACATTTTCTGGGCTTCGTAGAGGTTAAGGTAACATATGCGAGCCCGAACCACCCGTAGCTATTAAGAGTTATAGCAGTTCAAAGGTTAGGACCGTCAACGACACCGCGATATGAAGTTGTTCACTATGTACCTACGCGTGGTGTCGGCACAGCAAAATGATTAGGCTGCATCGTCTATATGATGCTGGGCACGACTGTATCCCGGCACCGTAATCTTGGATATGAAGCGAAAATTGGTAATGCTGCGTTGGACAATTAATGGAAATTGTAAGATCAACAGTTTTGCAAGCAAGCTCTTCTCGCTAATGAAATCTAGTTTGCTTGTTGAGTGAATGCTGCACTTGGAGCCTCTGTCGTCAAGTCCTTTGTCAATGCGTCGCAATGTCAGGCAGGGTCAAATTAATACTGCATTGCAGACGACAATAGATGCGGATATCGACACAGACTACTGTAGAAACTGTCTAAAGTGATACTACCTTAGCTGATAAATTGCTAAAAATCTTCAGCCCCGAGGTCGTCCTATATTAGGACTGATATGCCTCCATATAATCTGGTATCTGATAACTTGCGTTAACGAATTTACCCTACTCTAAAGCAGTTTTAGGAAAGCGGAGCTAGTGCTATGCAGAAGCAAGCCGTGCGCGAGTCCCTGGCCAAGAAGTAAGCATGGCTTGAAACATTGTAGTATTTACAGTAATTCGCGTTACACAATTTCCATACCGAGTGGATTGGCATCAAATCCGTCATCAAGAGTTCATACAGACTCTCTACTTCAGTCCGTCGCAACTGGTCATGTTAAACATTAAGGTAAATTTGTCAATATATCACGGTCCAGCGAAAAACGTCGATGAGAGCCGCGTAGGCGGTGACACGACGATTTATATTTAGTGGTGGGATTGTAAACTTTAACTGCTACAGGCAAAGCGTGGCTGCGATGGCGATACGAAGTCCAAGATTACTCTCGTTGCTTTAATTCTGCAAGAAAATCGATGGCAGTACTCAGGTAGAATGGCAAGCGCAACTATGTACACTTTTTACGCCACAGTTGCTATCGCTTTAATATCTCACATTATACTAAAGCGCGTTTAGATGCGATATTGTGGTCGGTATGGCTTAGTATACTGTGCAAAACTGCTTCTGACTCACGGCATCAATGCCGATGCCGGTAGTGGCTTCATACAAAGGCTGACGAAGAAAAGCAAAAGCGCGAT